CTGATTGTTTTGAGTTCTTTATATATCCTTGATAATAGTCCTTTGTCTGAGGTACAGCTGGTAAAAATTTTTTCCCACATTGTAGATTGTCTCTTAGTTCTGCTAATGGTTTCTTTTGAAGTACAGAAGCTTTTTAGTAAGATGAGATCCCAGTTGTTGATTCTTTCTGCTAGTTCCCGTGCTACTGAGGATTTGTTCATAAAGTCTTTTCCTATACCAATGTCTTCCAGAGTTCTGCCTAACTTACTTTCCAGCAAGTTTAATGTTTCTGTTTTAATATTTAGATCTTTAATCCATTTGGATTTTAATTTAGTGCATGGCGAAAGATAAGGGTCTAATTTTAATCTGTGGTTACTTTTAAATATCACCTTTCACGAAACCTGAGTGAATAGATATTTCTTACATTATTTAGGACATAGGAAGTTGTAGCTATGACATACATTCCCCAAAATATGTTGGCTGAACACAAGAGAGATTTATTTCTCAAAGTTGAGCTTGCCAGGTGGCCACATTGCATCTTACGAATATGTCATCTGGAAAGGTGGATTCCAAGAACCTTGTAGTAGGAGAGGACAGAGATGCAGGAATTGCATCTTGGAGTGAAGAATGCCATTTTTATTGGTCACTAGTAGTCACATGACAGGGGCCAAAACTGTGAAGGAGCCTAGCAAATGGAGCAGGGGTGGAATCATAATCGTCTCAGCCGCATTCCTCTTTCTTTTTATCTGGTTTACATTACTCTTGTTTATAAACCTTGAGTTCCTATTACCACTTTTCCCTTTCCATTCTACTATATGTTGTCTTCGAAGTTCCAACTCTCCTGTCAAGAGCTCCATAAACAAAATGAAACATTATGTCAACCCTAAGACCCCCTTAGGATTCTTACCCTGCTTCTTTCCTACTGTCCTTCACCCAAACTTCATCTCCCTGTACTGCCAGGACCTTAGATATAAATTTGATCTGCAAGGGCCAGGGATTTAGCTCAGTGGTTCCACCGCCTGCCTTCACAAGCACAAGGTCCCGAGTTCGATCCCTGGTACCAAAAAGAAATAAAAATAAAAATAAAATTGGTCTCTACAATTTGATTTCTTCAGCTGAATTTTCAGAAACATTAACCAACAGCCCTCTAACTAGGAGCTAATGTAGCTATGAGTTTTGGGGGGCAAAGTATCAAATCCTTAAGGAATACAGCATGGGTAGGTGTTGAATGTGGTTCTGGGTGGGCCATTAATACCTCGAAATCTGATAAACCACACCCTTCTGCATCAAGAGTGCTCTTCACAAACCTCAGTATATGTGAAATCAGTAAATGATTTAGTAATTATGTAAAAACTAATATCAAGAAGTGTAGGACCTGGGGTTTAGCTTAGTGGCACTGCTCCTACCTCACAAGCTCAGGGTCCCGAGTTCAATCCTCAGTACCACACACAAAAAAGTGTAACAAGGATAAGATAAATGGAAGCAGGCCTTTGAAAGAAAGCAAAGTAATATATTTTATTTCATGTAACTGTAAGGTGAATAACTATAGCATGCAGTAATGCTAATTTAAAGTAACATTTAATTTCTTATTTAGTCCCATCAAGTGAATATTGTTATATTGGTCCTCCGTAAATTCTTCCTGCTAGTCAGCAATGCAATGTTGAGAATTTGGTTACAATGATTGTTTTCTCATTTTATGCAGCTTCCTCCAGCTTTGCACCACAATTTGAAAAGAAGGGTTATAGAGAGATTCAAGAAATCCCTCTTCAGCCAGCAGAGTAACCCCTGTAATTTGAAATCTGAAATTAAAAAGGTACGGTGTTCTGTATAAAAGAATTCTTTGACAAAAACACTTTACAAGAATTACATTTTATAATCTCCTTTACTTTTTACTTTAAGCTCTATTCTCTATTAAAGGATATTATCACTGCTTAAAATACCACGTCAAGGAGATGTCTTTGCCTCTCACCTTTATTTCTGTGGCCATCGTTTTCAGATGACCGATAGAGAGTTATTTCAGAATTATTGCATGTTTTTCAAAGATTAAATATTACTATATATGTTTAGCTTAAAATGTGTATATTTTAGCTTGCTTTAGAGGATTCTATTCCAATATTTTGTTAGAAGGGTCCTCAACTAACCCCTAAATTAAGGTTTGCACTCTGAGAAGTCTGTTTATCATCAGAGACCATTATTTTTATTGTGATGTTTAAATGAATATTCTAAGAGTATGTCCATCTTCAACATTCTATAATCTCCTAAATTTTGGGTTCTAGCAAGCATTTTTATTCACATATACAGAAACTAAGTTACTAAATCAACCAGGCAGGAAAAAATTACCTCCTCTTAATACAGCTTGGTGTTGTGGTAAATCTCTTTTTTCTGAAAAGAGCCATAAGCCCCCCTTCTCCAGTCCCTGAAAGGCCCAAGATATTAGGCCTAGGTTTGGTCAATTTTTTAAAAAGCTTACTTCTGTATTTAAACTTCGGCATAGTCTTTGCTGCCTGTGAACTTTTCCTTTGAGGTTTCTTTTCCTTTAATGTAACCAACCTTAAGCATAAACTTACTCATTATTCTGGAAATTTGATAGGCTCTTTGATAAAAAGGGAGAATAGAATGATTTTGTTTTGTTGCCTCCTGTCAGTGGTGCTGAGCACCACTGATACATCAGACGAAAAAAGAATATCATAGACGGGGAAGGCACAGCCGCAGGTAAACAAAGCATAAGCCCTATCCCACCAGAGATCAGAGAGCAAGATTTCTTTCATGAATTGTGTTGCCAAATAAGACCAAGAAACAGCTAGAGGAGATTGAGGCAGAAGGGGAAGGGAACTCAGATATTTATTTTATGATATTTACATACTGTATCCTGAATACCAATAGATATCTTTTAAAAAGACAGAAGCTCAAATCTCCCATGAAAAGATTACAAGTTGCTTGGTTTTTATATTCTTATTAAAGTGGTATTCAGAATAATCCAGTTTGTACACAAATGTATTTTATCAGATATCCTAGTTTTATGACTTGAAAGTGTCTACTAAAACTTTCCGACGCACAAGGGCGGCCTTAACTCCTTCACTCAGTGATTTTCCACCAGTGCGTGTTCTTAGAGCAAATCATTTCCTTTTTTATTGTGCAGGTTTTTGGCTTTGTGTCTCTTCTGCACTTTCTTTACTCCCTTGATGGCAGAGAGATTTCACATTGCACCCTGTCTGCCCACCTCTCGTCGTCTTTCCTTCTATCACGGGAGAATCTCTTACTGGAGTTCCTACTTAAGTACTCCCGGTGTGGGGAAGAGAAGCGAGGAGCGATGGGGCAGTAGAGGTATTTTCGCAGCTCCGCTGAGGGAACCACAGGGAACAGACTCATCCTTATTTTCAGCTTGGTGAAGAGACAGATTCAGTTCTCCAGTAAAGATTGCCTCCTCTCCTTCTCTGATCTCACAAGTTTCTGGCAGTCAGTGGGCGCTGGGAACACTCAGCTTCAGCTAGGGCTCAGCTCATGACCAGCTGAGACCCAATCTCATTCTCCTGCAAGCTGCCCCAGGCCAGAGCCAGCTCCCATGACGTCCCCGGTGTACACCCCCGCGATCGGGAGGGCAGCCTCGCCTTCTGGGTGCCTAGTAAACCTTCCGTCTAACTTCACCTCTAAACGGAGAAGTCAGCTCCTATATAAAAGCCTCCCATCATTTTCCCTTTCCAGAATTAATTTCGTTATTTGAATTACTTTTTCACTTATATCATTATGTTTTAAATAGCTTTTTATTTACCTTATGTTACTGTTTCCCCTGAAGGCTGTGTCTCATTCATCTTTGATTCCTCAGGGTATAGCACTGTGTCTGGCATGTGGTAAGGCTTCGTGTATAATTACTGCACGTAGGATATATTCTATGCTTATATATTCTGTATAAGATAGTCTATATTTATTCAATTTATTAAAATATATATTGATACAGTGTATTAAAATATATATTGATACAGTGTATAAATATATTTCTGTATGGATATAGAAAGAATATATAAACCTAAAGAAGATTGTGACCTCTGTTTTTCCTCCTTTCTGGTATAATCTTTTTCCTGCAATAGTTTTTGTCCAGAAGTGGATTTTCACCCTCTGCATAGAGAAGAGTGGCCAGTTAGCCTTCGACTGACGAAGTCCCCCATACAGGGCTATGGAATCACAATGTGGCGATAGCACATAAAACGTGCTTGATTTTCACCTTTTTATCCCCCTGAGATCCAGGGACCCCATTCCTCAAGGTTGGAGGCATTATTATGGGATGATTGTGCCTAATTATAAAACAACTAAGACCCAACAGGGTATATAGAGGAGTCAAAAAGTGGAGTTCGTTTTTATGAAATTAAATTCTTTATAATTCTCCTAAGGGGTTCGTCAGCCCAGTCTTCTCAATCTTGGCTAGAATCTTAGGGGCGATAAAGCCACTGAATAATTACCTATGCATCTTTGGAAACTAGAAATTTTGATATGGGAAAAAGAAAAAGAAATAAGACAGAGATTAATTCAAATTCCAAAAAACACACACTGCTTCAAAAAATGCAGTTTCTCATAAATGCGCGAGAATAGTCCAGAAACTATTCAGGCAGCAAGGAGCTCCACTACTTGTAGATCCCTGGAGATGTCTCTGGCTTAAAGTAGAAAGTATACAAATGGGACTGGAATGTCTTGACACAGCAGATAAGAGCAAATGAGTGCTTTCAAGGAGCCAAGCGGGTATTAAAAGGACTCAGAAGCCAACCTGAGGAAGCTCCCACTGGCTATCTATGGGATAACTGGAACATCAATAAAAATAATAACCACAATGGACTGGAAGCATTAAATAATTTTCAAATCTAAGAGTTTATAATGATACTAATGAAAAAAATATCTCACATTGGTTACCCTTGGAGAATGCTAAGTCACCCATTCACCATTGTCAAAATTGTTTACAAAAGGAAATAATTATTTATTCTGCCTTTCCTTATTGGTTCTCTCTTGGGCTTAACTAAATTGGTGATGAAGAAAAGTTTCTTATTATAGAAGTACTTCAGCTAGTAACTGCCAAAGAAATGAAGAGTATCATCACAGTTTTGGAGCCCCTAATGAAATAACAGATCTAGATATGATCCCCAATAGCTGCTAACATTACAAAAACAAGGACAACCAGAAATATGCCACACGATAGAAGAACATAATATTGTCTATGTCAAATTTTTGTTGAACGCTTACATCTGCATCTGATCAAGCCTATAAATGCAAAATCATCAAGTCAGGGCAGTCTGCCCTGTTGCCTAGTTTTATAAAAAAAATTTTATTTACACAAGCACATGTGTTCAATTACCTACTGTCAAAGCTACTTACACATACTGCCTATGGAATATTTGAGTAGCTGAAACAGAAAGCATATAGCTTACACATTGAAAATATTATCTAACACTTTGCAGAAAATAATTTGCCAATTCTGGATCTAGTGTACTACTTGTGGAGAATACAGGAAACAAGAAAAAATATCTAATGACACCCTGGGGATAATTAGCAAAATTCACACTGAGATTTTGGAAGTGATCGATTGTCTTTATCAAATGATTATACTAGTTGAGGAAAGATATCAACAACTTTCAGTGTATTGAGTTCTTTCTGACTTAAACTAAAAAAACATTAAATACATAGTTTGAGGCAAACAGGAACATTTAAACATTTACATTGTTTTACAAAGGAATAAATAATTTCTCTTAGATGGGATAATTGTATTTGTGGTTCTTTTTAAAAAATTGAAACCCATATTTTTAAGAGCCATGCTGAAATGTCATAGATATCATGATATGTTGTACAAGATTTGTTTTCCAATTCCTGAGTGTAGGGAAGAAAGGAAATGTAAATGAGGCAAAATTTGCCATGTTTAAGCTGAGTGATGGGCACACAGAGTTCATTGTGTTGTTCTCTCTACTTTGGTAAACTTTTAAATTTTCTGATATGAGTCCTCTTTGTTGATGTTCTTTGATTTTCATATTGACGCCAGGCTCCTCCCATGTCAGCATTTTGAAGACAGCTCTTCTGACAAGGAGAGAATTAGAATGGGACAGGTTGTGTCCTATCCAAGAGCACGTGCATGAAAGACTGACTAGGGAGGGCTGCATCCTTCTGGGGTCACAGATGACTTTTCTCATTAGTATGAAGATACTGTATGAGCTCATTGGGGCACTGGCCCCTAGTGTTTTTAGCAGGATAGTCAGGGCTGAGAATCATTACTTTATAAATGGTGAACATTATTTGTTTCAAGGATTAAAACAACCAAAGGAATCTAGACTCAGGTGAGAAACAGTTGGCTAGTTAAGCATTCAGCCATTCCTGGGAGTTGTTGGATTTCTCTGCTTATTCGAATCATCTATAACTTTTAAATATACTGACACTCAGGTCACACACCACATTAGGCAATCCACGGTGGGTGACTCTCCAGGGGTTGGATCCAGTGTTATGTTTTGTTTTGTTTTCCAAGCACTCCCAGGTAACGCCACTGTGCTATTGAGGTTGAAAACTGGTGGCCCAGGATGGTCAAACTTTCTCATACTTTGTTGTATATATCAATGATGGAGAATCTTGATAATGTGTGGTTCTGAATTAGTAGTTCTGTGGAAGGGTGGAGATTGTGTTCTTCTAGCCAGCTTCTAGCCAATAGCTGCTGCAGAACCAGGGACACACAATGGGTAGCAGAGTTATATAGAATATGTACAGCGTCTGTCCACTGGGAACATATGGAGATTTTGAGACAAAAACTCTTGGAACTTTTATTGGAAACAGACTGTCTAGGTCAGCCGAAATATTTATCTATATACAGTAGCATACTTGGCCCACAGTTCTGCATGACTACCTACCTCCCCAGTACTGCCAACATTGTCATTCTGTGTGCACACTGTGAACAACAAGGCCTAGAAAGAACCCAGTGATATTTTCCTGGTGTGTGGGCTAGATAACCCAGAAGTTCTTCCTATAGGCAGGGGCCTTCTTGACACTTCTCTTTGGTTTCTAGTCTCCATTGCAATGCAGATCAGCTGGCTAAATTTACATTATTTAATAGCTGGCACTTTAATTCCTGGCTCCACGTTTTTAGCTCTTTTTTGAGACAAGTAGAATGCTCAGCTCCTTGGACTTTAATTAATAGCTCTTTATGCATATAATAATCATACATCGTATTTGCCTAGTCCTTGCCAGGGCCCTGTAGAGGCATCATAAATTACCAGGGTGCAGCACTGACTTAAATTGACCAAGTAGAGAAGCTCCTATAGCAGGACTGTCCTGCATAATGGAGTTAGGCTGTCTTTCCTCTTTGCCTTTAACCACTGTCAGTGCCAAATTCAGATTTGGGTCCAGGGAGGAGAAGCTGATGGTTGTAATTAGTGTAGATTGGTAGTTTTCCAGCCTTCTTTTAGTTCTGGGATCTCTGGTAGGGATACAGTTCTTGGTGGAAATGTAAACACCCCAACAGCAGTGGGTAGAAGTAGGGGCTTAGAGGGCCAGGGATTTAGCTCAGTGGTTCGCAAGCACAAGACCGGAATTCAATCCCCGGTGCAAAAAAAAAAAAAATGAAGTAGGGGCTTAGAGAATGTGGTGGGGCTGGTGACAGAATGTGTGTGTATGAGAAAACAGAGTGTATAAATATTGGACATTTCTGTTAACAAAGTGCCCCATAAAAAGCTAATAAAAGGAGCTGTAAGTTAGAAAAGATGAGAAATCAGACAATATGTTATGTCTTATAATGGTGCAGGTCAGTCAAAGAGGACAAGGAAAATCTAAAGATTCCTTCTATTATATTGTTCTTCATAGACTACTCTTCAGTTATTCTTACTCATTACTTCATTTCTTGGCATAAGTGTCAATTTCCTGCCAAAGCCTTGCCTGGCTTAGTCAAATCTGTCTGTCTTTCCTAGAACCACAGAGCCACCCTTTAAACATTCAGCACAGTTGCCATTTTACATGTGTGTGAGTGGACATTTTAGAGCTCTGAGGAGAAAAGCTCTGAGACTACAACTTTGGATGATAATTGAGTTTGTTCATTGTTTGAATGTGTACTTGGCATAGAACGGTTGATTTTCAAAATTCATGAATTAATGAGTAGAACTTGCTTTCTCTCTATTCTAGATCAACACCATAGTATGAACTCATGTCATATTTCTTTAATCATTTTGTCATTAACATACAATGCCTGAAATTTAACCAATTTTAACCAGAGTTAGCCACTTTCCCTCACCTGTAATGTCCACTTCATTTCTTTTCATCCACCTAAATCCATCCTTCAAGGTATCTCCCCCATTCCTTCCTCAGAGCCTCAGAAAGCCATGCTAGCCTTCAGGAAGGTCTGGTTTTTGGAAGTTTAGAACTCATCACCTCATTTCTCTCTCTCTTTTTGTTTGTTTGTTTATTTTTTTTTTGCTTTTTGAGACAGAGTCTCACTATGTAGTTGAGACTGACCTGGCACTCACTATGTAGCCCAGGCTGGTCTCGAACTCACAGCGATCCTCCTGTCTCGGCCTCCTTAGTGCTGGGATTACAGGCGTGTGCCACCACACCCAGCACCTCTTTTCTCATTTTATGGGCTATTGCATCACAACTGTTGTTTTACATACACTAACCTATTTTCCTGGTCATATTGCAAGTATCTAAGAAATATGTGATGCACAGCTGTAATCCAGCACTCTGGGAGGCAAAGACAGGAGGATCACAAGATCAAACCCAGCCAGACAATTTAGCCACAGAGAGAGACCTTGTTTCAAAATAAATACAAGTTTTAAAAAGCAGGGGGAGGAAGGAGGGATATAGATCACTATGAGTGCCGTAGGTTCAAATCCCAGTATGGAAAAAACAAAGATCCTTTCTGCATCCTCCTCAGACTATAAGACATACTGTCCAGCACATAGTAAGGTACAAAAAATGTTCACTGAAAGAATATTTATATTTAGATGCTAAGTTGCAAGAAGATGTTCAGAAAAGTCCATAGAATATAAATAAATATTTCTAGGTTTAAATGGAAGACTAGGGAATTGTAGTCCTTTCCTTCATCCCTAGCCCATCTCTGAAGATTTGACATTCTTAAGCTGAAGGAGATTGCTAATGTGACAAAATGGAAACCTCAAAAACCTCTCTATTCAAGTTTTCTTTTTGAGGGGGTACCAGGGATCAAACTTGGGTCCTTGCACTTGCAAGGCAGGCAGCAGAACTACTGAGCTAAATTCCCAGCCCTCTCTTCAAGGTTTAAAATCAATGACAAGGACTTGTCCTTCTCATCTTGAGGACAGTCTTGACCTCTCCAAAGTACAATTCACATACTTTACTTTGAGATTTAAACATTTTCCAGGCTGAGAAATTTTTAGGATTCCAAAGTATACTTAACAATTCAATTGAATAAGCTTTCTAAAATTAGCATGAGCATTTCAAACCAGCCAGATTACTCCTATGCTAAACCATATGGAAAATATTATCATCTAAAGTCACTTGAAAAGTAAGACCCAGAAATTATTTTTCGGCATCAGAAGATACAGTAAAAACCTTACAGTCAATGTGATCTGCTAGCTGGAATATGTCTCCTGGTCAAGACACATTTTCTGCCTCAAGTTCTGTTAGCATTAGTTACTTTTGGCTGCTTGTGAAAATGTACAGGGCCTAGGGATGTAGCTCAGTGCAGAGGCTCTGGGTTCAATCCTCAGTATTGCAAAAAAGAAAAAAAAATTGCATACTATGTCTTCTTTTGTTCCTGGCTTTTTTGCTTAAGATACGTTTATATTGTGAATATTAGTAATTTCTTTTTTATCTGGAGAATTCCGTTTATTATCCCTTCATGATGTGTCTGTTCTGTCCATTGACATTTGAGATTTTCAATTTTTAGCTATGAATAAGGCATTAGGAGTATTCTTACTTGCATCACTTGATGGCTTTATGTACTCATTTCTCCCATACCAATCATTAGGAGTGAGACTGATGGGTCAGAGGTAGGCATATGTTGTTTCATTGTAGTACACGGTGCCAGTTTTCTCAAGTGATTGAACAGTAATACAATTTAACCCATAAACAGGGTATGTGAGTCCAAAGTAACTTCTATTATACAGTCCAAATTATGTCATTTGTTTGTGCCTCATTAATATTTGACATTTTAGAAGTATGTTATATTAATTCAAGCATTAAAATTTTGCCAGCCCAAATGTTAGTTGGAATTAAAAGTGAAAGGGGTTGAAAAACATTTATAGCCTAAAATCTCCTTTTAAAAATTCAGCTTTGTAGAGGAGCATTAAGCAATTTGAACTTTAATAAATTCTGTCCTTGGTTGAATTATTCTTTTCTTCAGCATATCAAGAACTAATGTTTGGAGATTAAAAGTAATTAATAGTAATTTAGAAAAATATATTTAAAAACTGATTAGTTTTGGTCAAACGAGAAGCCATTGTTATAGAGAAAGCACTTGGAAAAGGGTTGTGATTTGGACTAAACATATTATTTTGTTGAATAATAGACTTTATTCCTTCTTCTGATTGAAAGTAATATCTTGATGTCCCAGGACTCATGCCATTATTTTTCTATCTGTTTTTATTTTTCTCTCACAAATCTATAAAATGTATTTTTTTTTAATGTGGCCAGAGAATTGTCTACCTTACTTTCATTGTAATTTTCCTGCTTCCAATTTGTAAGTTCTTTCAGAAGGAAGATGTTTATCTATTTATAAGATTTGAAAATCCAAGAACACTACATTTTCTGTGCAGAGACATAGGAAAATAGAAAACCCCACACTTAAATCTCCTGTCATTTACTTCTGAATACAAAATAAGATGTGATTTTGCTTTTCTTTTATTTCAGTTATCTCAGGGATCTCCAGAACCAATTGAACCGAACTTTTTTACAGCAGATTATCATTTATTACATCATTCATCAGGTGAAAACAGCCTGTCCCCAAATGACCCACCAGGTAATAGTCACACATATGGGTAATGTAGCTTTCTCAAAAAAATACTGTTTGGATCAACAGCTATTCCTAACATATCATCTCCTACTGACGAAAAAAAATAGAGCTTGTTTTTGTTATCTGTGGCAATAGACAAAAGGGATATATAGAAAGGATATAGAAATTCCCTGAGATTTATCTTACACATGTCAGCTTCTTTGATCATTTATTAATATCATAAACAAATAGCAAACTTTATGCTGGTGAATTGTATTTCCTTTTATTTCTTTTTGCTTGCCTGATAATGGAAAATCAAATGCCAAAAAGCATCTAGGGAGATTAGAAATGGAAAATTTAAATATTCAAAATAGAGAAAACATGTAATTTACCTGAGGAATTCACAGCAGACATATTTAATTTTATAATCTTTTAATCATAAATTCCACTCGGCAAGGCATTATAGCATAGGAACTGAAGGCACCGATTCTGGAAACTTACAGGCCTAGATTCAAATCTCAGTTCAGCCATGTAGTGGCCGATCTTGGACAAATTATTGAACCTCTCTGAACTTCACTCCCTTTCTTGTAAAATGGGATAAATATGATAATACAAAAATGAATAATGAATAAAATTAAAAATAATAATGCTCACACTGCAGAATTATAAGGCGTAGCAAGTGAACATAAAAAAATGCCTGGCTCCTGGTACAAGCTCAGCATAATTGCACTGTTCTTGTATTTGAACTCTAAGAAGTGTTCCAGTTGCCCTAAGGTTTCAGAATTCCTAAATAGTTGTTGAATCCTCATAAACTACAGTTACTTCACTCAGTGGAATGGACAGAGATGAAACTTTTAAAGTTAAATGAAGACATCTTTTCAGCTTAGAAAATTGCTAATTTTTGTAAATGTTGTCTAAACAAATTAGTCTATGTATTGATTATCAAACTGTTCCCGAGTCTTGCACTCCTAAGATAAAGCTAATCCCCATGACAGAATTTTAATTAAAACGGACCTTGAAAAAATTCATAAAATCAAGATAAAATGTTGTCTGAAGTCATTTGCTTTTTTATTAAAAATTACTTTTATTGTACATGTTTGCAGTACATAATGATTACATCCCTCCTGGGGAGTAGGTAAATGATGTAGCACATCTTAATCCAAAGCCTCTCCCAGGACAGGTAAGTCCATCCATATGCCGGCCTTCTCGTGCTAGCAAATGAGATGAACAGGAGTCCCAAAAGCCTGCTGCCTCCCAGAACAGCTGGATTCCCCGCCCCAGAGCTGAGCAGAGCCGGCTCTTGTCACTGCAGGCTTGGCAAAAGCAAAGACAGAACCTGCCAGCTCTGTGGGGGAAATACCTTTAAACTAGGCTTTAAATCTGCACCTCATTCTCTTGATTTTCTCTAAAGGGGTGGAAGAACTCTGGGCCTCTATATTAAGTCAATGTTGATCGATTCAAGTGGAAACTAGTCCACGTTACTTTGGAATAGGTAAAGTGCTGCTGTATTACATTCAGATCAACTATATCACATTCAGACCAACCATCAAAAATAAGTCTCTGGCTTTAAATGTATTTTTTTCCAAAGCAGTTACATGCAAGGCTCAGATCTTTGCTATCTATTGCTCTATTTTTTTTTTTTTTGCCTTCCCTTTTTTGCCTTCCCTCTTTCCAAGATATTTTTACTCTCTTTGCCTTGTGAGCTAATGAGAATTTCTCAGTCAAAAAACTCACCCATTAGGTTATTTGTGTTTGGAATCACTCCTTACTTGCCCTTAACACACACGCACATGCACAGCTCTAATTTAAAATCAATACTGGCAGCAGCGCTCTTAAATCTTCATGTTGATTTTATGGCCAAACCTAAAGTGACCAATTATTAAAGAGAAACAAAGAATTTGACTATTCAAAAACAAGACACTCTGGAAGTTAAGTCTCGTCTGTATCATTAAGAAATTGACCTCCTTTTTCTACAGTTGAAGTCATAATTGCCAATAAAGTATAACTAAGAAAATAGAAACCAAAAGTCAAACTTTAAATAATTCACCTCTTTCAGGTCTACCGACCAGCTTTGATTTGGAGGAGGGAATAACATATGAACAGATGCAGGTAAGATTTTTGCAGTTTTTCTGAGTGATTTTATTTTTTTGCTTTTATTTCACTACTAAGCTGATTGGTTTTACAATTTTAGACTGTGATTGAAGAAGTCCTTGAAGAAAGTGGCTATTACAATTTTACATCTACCAGGTGAGATCTAAAGTTGGCTTACAAATGTGAAAGATGACTGGAGATCTTGAGATAATAGATTTGATTTTTCTCTCTTCAATTCGAGGAATTTTCTTTCTTTTTAAACTTTCATTTTGAACATTTTTATAAAAGAATTTTGCTTACACTAGATTTAAGTTGGGTAGAATATAAGCAGTATGATCAAAACGTTTAAAATAATTTTAAAAGGTTATTACAGTAAAAGATGCATTGTGCTGATTAATCCCCCTTGTTTTGGACACACATCATCTTGCCACTTTATGAAGTGTTCTGGAAGTCCTCTTTCAAATTTTTTCATGGCTGTCTTGATGTCTTGAGTTGATTCAAAATCTGTAATGCGGTTTCTTTCAAGTTCAATAAAAATGGATCGGGCACTGTGCAACTTTAGGCTTCTCCCCAAAGTCAAAGTGACCATAAAAGGTAAATGTTTTGAATCAGTACAGGACATTGTGGCAGCCACAACCACACAACTATAGACATTCTCCATAAAAGGACTTCCAAAACTGCTCAGAAAATAGGATGTGTCTGAAGTGAGGGGAAGAATTTTAAGAGGATTAATGGCAGTGTCTCTTCTAGTATGATAATTTAAAAATAGGTTTAATGTTCACCGTACTTTCTGATCATGCTGCGTGTTGCCTGTCTTTTGCACGGAACAGCTGCTATATTCCCTTTTGAAACAAAAAGTGATCACAGTAATAATTCATTCCAGAAAATACTGAATACAATTAAATGAAAAAAAATGTTTTTAGGTTGGCTTTTTAAATCAAGTATTTGTCCCATTCTAGAAAAGCTAAAAATTCATTTTCATCACTGAAATCTACCCAGTTTGCATAGAATGCTGGGGAAAATGCAGCTATCCAAAGAATGATGACATGTGAATTTAAAATATTGATAAGAGACTTTGTTGATATGTACTGACATTTGCTTGCCCGAAGCAAGGAACTTTGATTTACTGGGGCTACATACGATCTTCCAAAATAACTGTTGGCGCTCTTAAAAATATACTCGTTTTTTCTCAGGTTAAGCCCAGTTACTGATTCTTACAGTTTTACTGTGTGTCACAGAGTTAGCACAATTTGAGTGCAGGAGTTTGAGAAGTGATTCAAGGAGACCCTGGTAGGGGAGTGAAGTGATTATTCAATAAAGATTTCATTATCAAGAAAATTTCCATTGTGGACATTGATCCCACTACAGCATGGTCCCACTGGGGAAAGTCTGAGAGCCGGTATGGGACAGGTAGATGCCTCAGAGTTATCCCACTCCAAGAGTTAGAGAGCAGAGGCTATTATCCTCCAATTTCCATCAGTCATTGTTTGAGGCCTTCCCTAGGAAGTGTTAATTCTCTGTTATTTCTGGCCTTTTGTAAAGGAAAGAGAAAGCTTTAGAGGCGAGAGAAATCCTCAGAAGAAGAAATCAGCTACTGGCAGAAGGGACTCCAGCCAGTATATATTTTGCAGTGGTGTGGGTGAGGGTGTCTGGGTAGTGACAGTGTTTATTGTATGAGTTGTCTCTTGGCTTTCCCATGGAGCATTCATAGCTCCATCATATTCACATTCACACACACACACAGACATCCTGTATGGCTCAAGGTTGTCTTTGGGGGCACAGTCCTTTGGGGTATGTTCTCCAAAGTAGCTTTTATTTTTATTTATTTATTGCATTAAAAAATAAACTGCATTCAGACCCAATTATTAAAGCTTTTCTGTGTCCACTATTTAGGTTATTTCAGAAGTCTTCCTTAAAGAAAGCAAGTAGCCATGGTAAGACAAGAAGGGTTTAGAGACACCTAGTTAAGGTTATTAAATAGAAATTAGATTCTTTTTTGAGTTTAGTTTAGTTCCAGTTTTTTGCTTCTCTCATTTCAATGGTTTTTCTTATGAATCACACATGAGATTATTTAACTACTTGCTCTTTTTCCTTAATATATTTCCAAAATACAATCTTTGTAAATTTAGTTCTGTTGTGACTTGTAACTGCAGAGAAATCATGAGTAGTTCTTATCATCCAAGGATATACTGTTAATAGAAATTATCATCTCCAAAACCACTCTACTCCCATTATGCCTGGAGAGATTTTTGAGTTTTCACTTTTTACATGAGAATTGAGTGTATCTACCCTTATGCAGATAGTATAATGTCTTGGTTCTTGACCCTCAGCATTTTACTTCAAGTGTTCTTGGCTTGTAGTGGGGCAAAGGTGACTATTGTCATTTTATGTACATTTCTTCAAAGACTCAGGATTAACAGCTGTGGATATCTTCATAATTGTTCAAGAAATCAACTAAATATAAATTGAAAAAAAAAACAAACCCTAGGAGCTGGGTATGGTAGCACACTACAATCTGAGCCCTTTGAGGGGCTGAGACGGGAGAATTACAAAATCAAGTCCAGGCCAAGCAACTCAGCAACTTAGCAAGATCCTCTCTCTAAATTAAAAAAAAAAATTAAAGAAAAAAGGACTTGGGGATGTAGCTCAGTGTGAAGGACCTGAATTCAATTCTTAGTACTGTAAAAACAAATTAATAAAATAAAATTAAAATTAAATACAAAAGCTAGGTAAGTTTAAAGTTTGTATCCACTTATTTTAAAAGATTATCTTTTTCTAGAATTTATAGTTATGCTTTTTAGTTCCACTATGTTTAAAAAATATCATTTTAAAGATATTTATTATAAATATTATCATTATAAGATTATCTTTTTCTAGAATTTATAGTTATGCTTTTTAGTTCCACTATCAGTAAATTTAAAAATATCATTTAAAGATATAAATTTTATCATTATAAAAGATTTTTATTTAAAGATATTGCAAGTTTTCTTAGGAAAATCAGGTAAGATGCCCAGTGACTAATGTAAAGACTATTCATGGTTATATTTGGAACTATAGAAAGGATATGAAGGCGTGATTTGAACAATCAAGTTCAAGTAACCTGGTTATGACATCAAATTTTTTTAAGTCTCCAAATTACTTTTAATAAATCATTTAAAATTTGCATCAATATATACAATAAATGTGTTAATAAAAATAAGTATTAACTTTTAAATTCATATATCCTATTCCTGTTTTGATCTCTAATAGC